AAAGAAGGAGTATTTGAAGAGTAAAAATAATATTGTCCATTTTCCAATGATATTGATTGTGAGACATCAATAGGTTTTCTTTTCCCTTGAAAAAATAATTGTTGCTGTTGTTGTTGCTGCTGTTGTTGATAGGATTCACAATTAAAAATACCAAACAGTTTATCAAGTAATCGACATAATTTTGAAATATCTGCTAAATCATTTTCCTCTTCTACTTTTTCTACTGATCTAATCGAAAAGCCTACATGAATGCCTGGAATAGGCAACACATTAAAAGGATGTTGAAATATACTACGACTTTCATATCCTTTATTCTCACCACCATCCTCTTTGTTTCTTTTATTCACCCATAACCCTTCTTCTTCTTCCTCCTCCTCTTCCTCCATCATAATCTGAACTCTAGCTGACCATTCAGTTTTCCAATCAGAAAATAGTAACAGATCATTATCACCATTATTATTATTATTATTAACAAAAAACTTTTCAAGTGGCTTATAAATCTTCCATTCCCTAATTCCGGTAAAATTTTTAATCAAGGCACAATTTTTTTCTGGGATCTGTATTTTATCATTTATAAAAGAATTGTCATCGTTACTGCTACTCGCTAGCACTCTATCAAAAAAAAATGTTTGTCGATGTCTAGTTAAATGTGATGATGGAGATGGAGATGAAGAAGATACTAGAAAAAAAATTATTAGTGAATTAATAATTATAAAAATAAATTGAAAAGTTGATTGCATAATAATTGTAGAAAAAATTTATTAAAATATTTTTTTATTAGATAGATAATCGGATAATCCATTCACCATTCGTGCATATCACAAACAATCATCACATTTTGATAAAATCGAATTCCTACTAAATAAGAAACAACCCCAATGCGTAACATTAGTACGGAGTGTGCGGAGAATGCACGGTACACAAACATTGTGGTTCATTCAGTATAGTGGACATTTGATTTCATTGGCTAAATTTTGTGACGATCTCCCTTCCAGATATCACGCAACAATTGGCTTGAAAATCGTTACGCAAATTTGAAAAACAAAATATTAATATTAATATTAATATTAATATCTGAGGGAATGATAAAATAAAATGTTTATAACAAATAAAAAAATTAATATAGTATTTCTTTATTGAATGTTTATAATACATAGGCTTAGTTTTTCATTATACAGTCTAATATATTATTTGCTTTTAACTTTTCATTGACTTCATCAAATCAACATTTTACCTTTGATCATGAATTATCATCCATTATATAATATTGTATATATATCTGAAATTTCCTATAAATAAATAGATTGGTGGCATGAATATTAATACATGAATTTTGAAAATAAAAATAAAAATAAAAATAAAAATAAAAATAAATGTAAATATGTAAATATAAATATAAATATAAATATATATATAAAATATAAATATAAATATAAATATAAAAAAAAATATTTTAAATATGTTTTTTAAACTGTATACACCACTTTATAATTATAACCTGAATATATCTGTTATTGTTGTTTAAAAATCCTTCTTGTTTTTTAAATGCATCATAAAAAAATCAAGATACAACCTATTATATGATCTTTGTACTATTGGAAAAAGTTGAATATAAGTTATAAGTTAATCAAATATATATAATAAATACTTATTTCTTTAAAGTATAATAATAATGAGAATATAGAATAAGTCTTTACCTGCAAGTATAATAATAACTTATTAATAAGTAAAATGTTATCATTCATATTTAAAAAAAAAAAATTTAAATAATAATAATAAACAATAATAATAATGACACCATTTTGACGGACAAGATCACAGAAGCCTTAAACTTTTACTTCTAAGGTAACTTATTGAAATCAAATTGATCAAATTGATCAAGTTTTACCAAAATATAAAGAAAAGTCAAGGCGATATATTGATATAAAAAAAAAGATTTTCCATAAAATGGGTTTTGTGTGCAGTCACGTGACTTTTCTATTCTAAATTCAATTGAAATAGCAAGTTTCACAATATAAAAAAGATTGATGATCGATTTTGTCACAAGTGATAAAACGAATGTCCACTATGCTTAGTATTGTATAGTGTTCAACTATATGCACATTTGCCCAATCTCTAGTTTTGGACTATTTATTTCAATTATGAATTTTAAAAAAAATGTGACTTAGATATGACAAATAATATCTTGTGAATTCATGAATTGATCAGCAGAAACATACCGATATGGTAAAATCCCAGACTGTATTGGTTGGGAGATGGGGATTTGGGAATTCTTTGACAGGCTGGCCCAAATTCATTTTGTACATTTGGGTTTGGGCAGCATATACGCATATAATTATAGCCATACCACTTTCTATTTAGAGTCAACACAACACCTCCATTTTAATTAATGTCATTTGCTGTGCTTGTTCATGGTAAATATGAGGTTTTAATGTACTTTGCTAAAGATTACTGATTGGCTAAAACAATTTTTTGTTCATTTTGTGCAGGTAAAAAAGTACATTTATTAATAATGCATTCAATTGATGGAAAAAACATTATTAAAAATTTTATCTCCCTTCAACCAATGTATGCCTTTTGAGAATAAGGAAATAATCTTTTCAATGTCAAGATTTAAAATAAGTTTCTGTGACTTTTCAAGTGTACATGATCTGTTCTTGGGTGGTAATGGTTTTATCAATGGTACCATGATTGGTTTCTTTGCTAAATTATTCATAATTTTTTATAGATAAGAGTTAGGAATTATTATGATATGTTATGGTGCAAATCATCTATAATCATTAATTGCTTATAGTAGCAATTGGTCAACTTCAAAATACTAAAACAAAAAAAAAATTATATCATTTTAAAAAATTTAACCAATAAGTTTTATTGTTCATGACTCAAGCTTCAAAACCTATCAGCTGGTTTTTTCTTAAACTGAAAATTGGCATTTTGAAAATTCCAAATTTTGTTATACATTTAAGAAATTGAGACTAAGTAAATTTCGTGTAACAACTTTTTTTCATAGAATATTTTCTACAACATACATTTGATTTGTTTGATTTATTTATTTCCTTTTTTTTATTAATAAATAAAAGTTCTTTACAACAAAAAAGTTTAACGAACATATTACATTAAAAGAAAATCATTACCAAATTTGGTCGTGAGATTCAAAATATTGTAACACGAAAATTATTGTTGCACTTCTGAGCATAACTTTCAAATTTAAAAAATCTATGGAAAGAAAATTTGAGACAAATTTTTTTTTTAGATTAATAGACTCCCTTTTTAAAGCTGAATTGAATGGTGGCGGGTTTTTTAAAATCCAATGTGTGGATCACATAATATTTCAAAAATTTAGACTTTTGAGTATAGATGATCCGCACTGTAGCACATTACAAAATAAAAATGATGTAACAATTTGGTTCTATTTATATTTGGTAATTTGTGGTTATTATGAACATGTTGAATTGAATTTCATGATTCCCGGAGATACCAAATTCAAATGTGATGGTAGTTTTGGATTGATTAAAAACTCTACAGAAAACATCCAGTCCAGCAGGATTGAATAAAACTCAATGCTATGAAGGTGGAAAAGGCTTTCAATACTTGGATATCAAATCAATTTTTGAAATTTATTTTAAAAAATTAAATGGTATGCCAACTAAATTTTTTAGTGTGGGGAACTATAGAAGAAAAGTTGTGGGAACAGCTTCAAGTTTGCCTCAGGATTTTTTCAGTCCTGGTATGTTTTATCAAGAATTATTGCCATCTGTTATAAATATTGTTACCGGAATTAGATTTGGACGCTCTTTTGGCTGAATTTAACTAATTCCGAAATTCTTAATTTTTATTATTATTATCAGTGTACAGTTCACTCTCTCTATAATGGATCATTTGTCTGGGGAAAAAAGATCCGTTATAGAGAGAATCCGGTATAGAGAATTTTGTTGATCGTCACATGATTAAGTTAACGAATAAAAAAAAATTTATTATTATTATTATTATGATTATAAAAAAATAATTATTCAATATTAATGTTCAAAAAACTATCTAATGTAGATTGTTTTTTTGAATTAAATTCTACTTTTTTGATTTCTTTTTAATGGTTTTTAACAATTTCAATTCTTCATTTGTAAATTCCTTAAATTGCTGTTCAACAAATAAATTTACATTTTCAATGGCCAATAAAGCATCTTGACTTGAAACAAGAGGAATTTCTTCAATATTATCATCATCTTCTTCATCTTTTTCTTCATTAAGCTTTAGCATAGAAATTATTTCTTCATCATTTGGCAAACCCTCATAATTGTCATTGTCATTTCTTTCTACTTCATCAATGGAAAGATATTCTGTCCCAGATAAAGGATTTGCAAAATCAAGTTCATTAATTAAACTTTGTAAATCATTTTCATCATTATTTTTTGAAGAATCTAGGAATGATGTAGCATTTTGAATTTCAATAGAATTTTCATCCACATCAGGTAAAATTGCAGTCTTTTTCCAGCAATTAATTATTGTTTGACTGGTAACATTTTCCCATGGCCAATAAAGCATCTTGACTTGAAACAAGAGGAATTTCTTCAATATTATCATCATCTTCTTCATCTTTTTCTTCATTAAGCCTTAGCATAGAAATTATTTCTTCATCATTTGGCAAACCCTCATAATTGTCATTGTCATTTCTTTCTACTTCATCAATGGAAAGATATTCTGTCCCAGATAAAGGATTTGCAAAATCAAGTTCATTAATTAAACTTTGTAAATCATTTTCATCATTATTTTTTGAAGAATCTAGGAATGATGTAGCATTTTGAATTTCAATAGAATTTTCATCCACATCAGGTAAAATTGCAGTCTTTTTCCAGCAATTAATTATTGTTTGACTGGTAACATTTTCCCATGCCTTTGTAGTATATTTAATTGCATGCTTTATTGTAATTGGATCAGGTTCTCCACCTCTTTTTTGTATTTCATAATTTTTTAGTTTTTTTCTCAAAAAAAGTTTTTTATAATTTGCCTGTAAAATATGATATTGAAATTATGTTAAGAATTTTTTTAAAAAAAAAAATTAATATTAATATTAATAATTTATTTACCTTGAAGCTATTGATTATACCAGCATCGCATGGTTGTAAAAATGCAGTAGTATTTGGAGGCAAAAAATGAATTTTAACATTTGTTAAATTTGTTGTCTCATTAACAGAATGTGTGGGAGCATTGTCTAATAATAACAAAATATTTCTATTTTGTTGTTGCATATATCT